GAATAAATAAATAAATAGCGTTAAATCGACTTAAATGCTAGCTCAAAAAATCCAAATATATCCAAAATTGGTTCACATAAATTGGCAAATTGACAGCGTGGGTGAAGTGCACGAAGTATAGTGATGACGATCATCATGTAGATCTCCCTACTCCCCCCGTCTACCACAGCGGCATGGGGCGATGTCTGGCCAAATAGGCCGGCAGGCTGGCAGCAGTTGGAGCGGGACAGCCTGAAATGCAGATGGGAAATACATGAATTACAGATCTCAAGATGGTATTAAAGGGCTCAAACGTACGGCAGACGGCGCAGGTTTGCTCATCGGTGCCATCGCCGCAGCCATCGCGGCCGGAGCACACGATGGCGGTGGAGCGGCAGAGTCCATTGCTGCAGCGATGCGGGCAATAGGCATCCGGCTCCCGGCGACTGGCCAGCAGGCCACCCGCTTCGATCAGGCGCATGAAGAGATTGGGCATGGCACGAGAGCCGCAGAGATGGGGCGGCTCATCGCTGCCATCCTTGCAGGAGACAATGGCATTGCAGTACTCGTACTCGGGCAGGCATTCGCCGCTCTTGCAGCGGAACGTGTGCGCCGGACAGCTGTTGCCGCCCTTCAGGTGGCCATCGCAGCCCAGCTCATCCTCGCCATGCGGACACTGTTTGCGTCCGTCGCAGAGCGCCGCACGCGAGATGCAACGGCCACTGCGCTCGCAGCGGAACGCCTCCGCCGGACAGGTCTGATTGAGGCGGGCATTGTGGGTGCACTCCTCGTCGGATTCGTCGTTGCAGTCGGGGCGTCCATCGCACACGAAGAACCACGAGATGCAAACGCCACTCGAACGGCACTAGGAGAGAGAGAGAGAGAGAGAGAGAGGGATTAATTACGGGAAACTGCATTCGATTTATATTAGGGGTATTCCTGCTTATGCTGTCTTAATATGCTCACCTGGAAGGTGCCGGGACTGCAGCCTGTGCGCTCCGCACTGCACTGACCCTGATCTGCGCCAGTTGATGCGGCGCAGTCGCATACGCCACGTGCATTGCAGACGGTGTGGGGATCGGCCATCTGGCATTGGCGATCGCTGGCGCAGGGCAGACCCAGAGAGATGGCTTCCAGGGCCAGGTCGACGCGCTTGCGCAGCTCTGTGCTCGGTTTGCCACTCAGCAGCGACACGATGGGAATCTCTGGCGGGTAGCTGACAGCGGGCAGGGGTGTGGCCTCCTCGGAGGCCATCAGGGGCTTCAGGGTGGTCACCACTGGGGCGGCGGGCTCCATGAGGGTAACACGACTAGCCAAGCCGAGCATGGTCTGCGTGGTGATCTCGACGATATCAGCCGGGTTGGGCGTGGCCTCCTCGTTGGCTTGAGTGACGGGCACGTTCAGCGCATCAATGTGATTGTTCTGGTCGAGCTGTGTGTCCAGCGTCGTGGACTCCACAATCAAACTGTCCGATTCGAGCTCCTGCAGTCTGATCGGACCAGAATTATCGCTCAGGTCGAAGGGCAGCTCCTCAGGCGACAGCGTACGCTCTGGCTCTGCCTCGGCTTCCGTTTCCAATGTGGTTGACTCTGGCTGCAGCTCAGCTGTAACAGCTGCCTGTTCGTGCTCCTGCTCCTGTTGCTCCTGCTGCTGCTGCTGCTCCACTGGCATCTCGGGATAGAAGGTAACTAGTTTGTCATCCAACTCATTGCTGTTTGCTTCAGTGACAGGCACTGCTTCCGCTTCAGTGTCTTCGGATTGCTCCTGCTGCTCGTGCAGTTCATCGGCCTCTGCCAGCAAATCGGGCATGGCTGGCATTTCATTCTCATCCAGCTGCTGCTGCTGCTGTTGCTGCTGCGTCTCCTGCTGTGGCTTCTCGCCCGCTGGTATGGGCATAGTTTGCGCTGGCTGCTCTCCGAATGGCACTGGAGGCACGGTGCTGTCGCCCTCAAGCATCAGGTCGTTCAGTATGCCCGCAACGCTTTCGCTTTCCTTGAAGTCATCGGCAGGTTGCTCCTCGCTCACAATGGGCACCTCGGCGACCAGCTCGGGCAGCTGTGTGGCTGCCTGCTCCGTTTCCATTTCCGCTGCTGCTGTTGCTGCTGCTTCGGTCACAGTCTCCGCTGGAGCATCCTCAACTTTTTCCATGCTGGCATCGTCGAAGTTCACTTCTGGCTGCTGCAGCTCCGCCTCATCCAATTTGATCTGCCGCTCAGTTGTGGACTCTGCCTCTACCTCTGCTTCGGCCTCTGCCGCTGTGACCTTGATTGGCTGCTGCTCCACATTTGGCTCCGCTCCTTGTATGATATTATCATTTTCATTTTTGTCCATTTCCGCTTCAGCCAGCTCGCCACTTTCACTGCGCTCGGTGACAGCTTCCGTCTTGAGATTGAGTTCGGTTTCCTGCAGCTCATCGTGTTTAATTGGCGTTGCCTCTGTCGGTATTTCAGTGGCCGCATCAGCCGCGCCTTCAACCTCATCTGCCTGCTGCAACGGCAGCTCCTCAACTTCATCCTCAACATGCGACACCTCATCATTAGCAATGTTGTCTAACTGCACCGCCTGCACTGCCTCGAGCTCCGACTCTGTCTCCGACTCTGGTTCAGGCTCTGGCTCTGGCTCTGACTCTAGCTCAAGCGCTGGCTCTGCAATTGTTTCCGACACTTCGGGCGTCTTAATTGCATTTGCATTTAGCTCAGTCTCCTCTGCTGCTGCTTCTGTTGGCTGCTGCAAGATTTCTGGTTCACTAGTTGTTGCAGCCGTCTCCTCCGCCTCCGCTGCCTCGTCGTGCTCCTCTGCATCGTCTTGTGCATTGGCCACCTGCTCTGTGACTTGCTCTGGCGCCAATTCATCATCATTTGTTGGGTAAGTCGATTCTTCGTGCTGCGCTTCGCTGATTGCCTCCACCTCAGCAGCTGGCTCCATCTCCAACTCCGTCTCCTTCTCCGTTTGGCTTTCTGTCTCTATCTCATGTTCCACATTCTGCTCCGCCTGCTCCTCATTCAGCTGCTGCTCAGTTGTCGCCTCTTCTACAGTCTCAGCCGCAGCCTCAACCTCAACTTCAGCTTCAGCTTCGTCTGGTTTTTGCTCTGCGATTTGCTGTTGATTTAATTGATTGGCTTCATTTAAATCATCTTCGCCACTTGTCGGCTTAACGTCGGCGCTTTGTTCTGCCTGATCGGTTGTCGACTCCAGCTTCAGCTCCAGCTCTGACTCTGACTCCGTCTCCTTCTCCTTCCCATTTTCCGTCTCTTCCTCTTCCTCTACTTCTGCCTCTGCCTCTGTCTCGATTTCAGCTGCATTCTCAGGCTCTGCCGCGGTTTCAGTTGCCGCCTCGACTTCTGCGGCTTCAGCTGCTTGGTCGGGTTTCTCTGGCTCCTCTTCCACTTGATTTTCCTTTTCCAGCTCTGGCTCAGCCTCTGTCTCTGCATCATTGGCAATTGTCGCTGCTGGGCTTTCGCTGTCCATCAGATTCGCTGGCTCCTCAATTTCGGTTGCTTCTGTTGCGAACTGCAGCTCGTCTTGTTGTTGTTGTTGTTGTTGCTGTTGTTCCTCTTCTTCCTCCTCTGTTTGCTTGGCTGGCTGCACTTCTTCAACAGCTTCTTCATCTTCATCATTGACTGCTGTGACGTCAGCTTGTTGTGGTTGTGTCTCCACCTCCGCCTCCGTCTGTGCTTCCGCCTCTGCTTGAGGCGCCTGCTCCGTCTCCATCTCATGATCACCCGACTGCTCCACCTCCTCCTGCTCAACGTTCTGTGGCTCAGCCTCTGGCTGCTGCTTGGCTGGCGCATTTGTTGCACTTTCATTTTCCGCCACCTCTTCGCCATGCACGGGTATCAAATCATCATCAGCATCGCTTGACGTCGGCTCCTTCTCATCCTCCAGCTGCAGCTGCTGATTGTTCCCTGTGGCTGCCTCCACATCAGTCTCGCTGTTGATCTCCTCCTCCTTCTCAATGGGCACGGCACCTAGCGCAGATTCCAGCTCATCATGTTGCTGTTGCTGAGGAGCTTGCTCAGCCGTCTGTTGTTGTTGTTGTTGTTGCTGTTGCTGCTCTTCGGTTTCATAATCAAATTTCATGGTATCGTCGGCTGCGGCTGGCGCAATTTCTTGTGCGCCCGAWGCCTCCTCCGGCTCCTCCTCCTCCTCAACAGTTGGCTCATTGACCGTTGCAGGTGCTGGAACCGCCTCCTCTTCAATTTGCACCTCTGGCACTGTCTCTGGCTGTGGCTCTGACTCGGGCTCTGGCTCTGGCTCTGGCTTTGCATCCACCTCCGCCTCTGGCACCGTCTCTGGTTCTGCCGCGGGCTTGATCTCATGCTCCTCAGCGTATTCCTCATCAATCTTGTACGGATAGTCGTAGGCGGGCAATGCTTCAGTCTCGTGCTCCACAGCTTCCATGGCCTCGGTGGTCACATCGGCTGGCGTCAATGGTTGCTGAGCTCCAGTTGTTGGCTGCTGTTCCTCGACGGGGCGTTGCTCCTCCTGCTCGGAGGCTACCGCTTGCTCAACTGTTTCAGGCTGCTCTGGCTTCAGAATTGCGGGAATGTGCTCACTCTCCAGCTCAGTTTCCTTCTGCTGCTCCTCTGGTTGCGTCTGCTCAGCCTCGGGCTTCGCTTGACTCTCCTCCAACTCCTGTTGTTGAGTCAATTCGGTTTCCTCATGTGCATGATCCACAGGATCGAATTTCTCTCCATTGTCCACGTCGATGACTTGGGGTCGCAGCTTTATAGCATCCATATCATCCTCTTCCAATGCCTGCTCCTCCACGCTGGCGGGCAGCTCATCCTCCAGCAAGATGGGCGCTGACGTTGTTCTCGCTGTAGTGGGCGCTGGAGTTGTTGTTGTTGTCGTCGTCGATGTTGTCGTCGTTGTTGTTGCTCTCGTTGTAGGCACAGGCGTTGTTGTCGTTGTTGTTGTCGTTGTGGTCGTGGATGCCTTCTCAACCGGCTGCTCCTCTGCTGCCGTCTCATCGGCCGCTGGTGCCACACAGAGTCCACCCACCATGCGCGTCGGCGCCGTGCACTGGCAGCGTCCAAAGAGATTGGGTATGAGGAAATCGCAGTGGGTGCGCGTATCGAACATTTGACAATGGGCATGGCTATAACAAACGGCGCCAGGGTGAGCGGCTGCAACGAGATGAGAGAGAGAGAGAGACGGAGAAGCGGGGTTAAAGCGTTGAAGAGAGATATTTGCGGTGAGTGAGAGATTCGCATGGCCCCCACTTGGGGCTGTGCTCCACGTTCTGTTATTAAACTAACCGTACATTTGTTGCAACAGCCACCAAATGCATATTAAAAACCCATCATCATCATCAACCAGAACAGCAATGTGAACACAGCAAAAGCAACAGCAACAGCAAAAGCAACAACAACAACAACTATCGGTTGTTCGCAACGAGTATTATGCCAACAATCTGGAAGGCATTAGCCCGCCTTGGACATGCCTAATAACCGTCAATAGAGTCAGAGTCAACTGCAACGCATTGCCGATGACGTCGCCCATCTTCCCATCCCCAACTTCCCCCCCTTTGTCTAGCCCGCATTCTTCATTACGGTTTCCCATTGCCCATGTACCCTGCTCATCATTCAGCATTCCATCGCCTAAGCGCCCGCCCGATATGGCTACTGCGCATAACTGGCCTGCCTGACTGACTGCCAGAGCCAGCTGAATCTGAATCTCAGTTAGCTGCTTAGCGATTCCTCTTTTATGCATTGCTCTCTGTGGCTCTGCTGACCCACTTTCCGGGCCTGCTGCAGGCGCTCAACTTGTTTTCACTTGTTTCGTTTTAACTTTTGGCGTGGCAACTGCAACGATCAACAGCAACTGCCAACTGCCAACTGGTAAGAGCAACAACAGCAGCAGCAACTGCAACAGCAACTGCAACTGCAACAGCAACTGCAACTGCACCTGCACTCGCTTGCCCTTAGGGCTGCGTCTAGGCAGAGCCAAGTTAAGCTCAGCTCAACTCAACTCAACTCAGCTGTGCTGGGAATGCAGTTAACTGACTGCCAGAGCCGGCGAGGCGCCCCAATTTTCATTGCCATGGCAAGCGGCACTCATTGGAGTTGAGTGGCTAAACTGTGATTGATCACGCTAAACAGTGACTGGTTAAGCGAAGCTGTGATTTGGCATTTGCAGTTGATGTATTGGAAAATGAATGAATTTGGTGACTCGAAGATATTAGTTAGACTGGAAAACTAGTATAGCTTAATAGTTGATTGTCTAGCTCGAGTATAGTTATCAGAGAGACTGATTTGCATGGCTAAATTAGTAAGTTTAAGCTGACCAAAGCTGACAGCTTTTTGCAAGCTGATTGCTATGAAACTCAAGCAGAACAAAATGAACCATTTTCAATAATTAAATATAATATAATTTATGTAATGTGTATGATATGTAAAAAAAAAAATTATTATTAA